GAAGCTATTGGAGACGCTTGGTCGTATGAGAGCATTTCGCAAGGTGCAAGGGCAGGGTGAGCAGCCGCGACCCTAGACACCCAACCCCTGACCATACAGAGGCTTTTGGAGGCAGAGGTCGGTCGCAAACAAGTGTCCAATGTTCGAAGATAAAAAAAATCAAAGACGGAGTCGCCGCTATTGGGTGAATGATGTAAAGCACAAAGATAATGGTTGAAAGGAAAAATCATCATCAACCTACATCGAAATACAGTGAAGCGAACTTCACTGATCGTTGCCAAACTCGCAATGCATGCAAAGTTGGTGGTAACGTGTAAGGTGGACAGGTATTTTTATCACACTACTGTGTGATGATCTGCAGACGGAGAATGCCCCATAGTCACGAAGACCTGCTGATAAGTAATGGTAACCGGCAACCTAAGCCCCGGGACTTGAATGGACGAACCACAAGGCCCCGCTAGGTCAGGCGTGGTATTGAACCGGACGACAGCCTACCACCACAGCTAGGTGTCGATGTCGGCTGTCTTGCTGGACGACCGTAGAATCGTTCCTCGTGATACCACCTAAGGCACAGTTTGCAAATCCCTTAAACGCCAGCACATCAAGAGTCTGAGGAAATTGTAGAGAGATGGAGAAAGTTGCGGCTATTTGTAATACTCACAATCTTATTCTTCTAATTGAGAATATGCATTTGTAGTTCCATTCACGTCAGCCGTGGACCAGTAGGGGACCGGAGTTCTTGCTCCATTTCGATCTTTATGGTGTTGCTCCACATTTTTGCTAAGCCTTTTCAGTGACGGTTCCATCCCTTACAGAGAGTTGAGTAGAGACTGCGTCTGTAAAGTTCATTTTCTGGTTGTCGGATAATTTGACCGAACATATGGAGGCAACTTTGGAGAAACAATGATGATTTCTCTGCTTTAAAGCATTATTGTCTGTTCATGCTGTTGAAGATCTGGTATTGCCAGCATACTTTCAAAGCAGTGCGTAGGCATCACTAGTCAAAAGCACCCAACTTAAAAAATATTCTCGGCTCCCATCGACCATGTTTCGCAGCCATAAGTAAGCACTAGTTGGTTTGCTTTTTGAAGTGTACGCATTCTTGAGAGGGCCAACAAAGCGCATTCGATGTCTCGTGCTTTTTCAGGCTCGTCAACAGCACATACTGCTGATAAGCCCCAAAAGGACGGAATGGAGTTACTTGTGGCGAAATTTGATGCTACTGATATTTCAACTTTCGCCCTATCTTTTGTTCAAGGATGTGTCTCTTATCTTTGTCTAATCAAGTGTGTCCTACTAGACCATAAGGGTCTTTGTACTGCTGTTCTCGGATTCAGAAATAGCTTTCTAGTTGTTGGATCAACGCCGTGATCGCGTCCACCTACTCAGAAGAAATTTTTTCACATGCATAGTGGATCTACCACATCTTTTTCAAAAGTCGGATATCCTCATAGGGTTTAGTGCCGTTTCCCAGGCATTACCGGAAGGTAGCGGTTCCCAAATATGGGTATTTCCGCGATGCCAGAAGTGAGATTTGAGTAACCGATGTAGACCAAGGGGAGAGAATGGTTCTGTAGGAATATCACAGATTCCTCTGCCGATGTAATTACCACCGCACGAAACCCCCTATCCTTCCATTTACTATGTCTTAATAACCGGTATTACTTGTGCATTTATCTGACCATTTCTAGAGCAATCTCTGTTTCATGGTCTCTTATGTATACGAGTGGAAACATGACACCTACGGGTGAGTTCCCCAGTGCTAAATCGAGATAAGTGTCAGGTGTAACCGCCGCAGTTCGGTTACTATGCGTGTCAGGGCTGCTAACCTTCCGATATCTTCAACGTTGAATACGTCATACTTCTCAAAAACCCCTTTCTAAAAATGAATGTTTCAAGTTTTTTATAACTTTTTTTCAATCGCGACCGACCAGACTTCTTTTTTGGATTCCGACTGGACACTGTCGCTTCCGCATGCCGGATCCTATTTGAACTTAGACGACATTTTGGCTACAAGCGAGCGTACTTCATGTCGCCTGCGGGTTGCTCTTCCCGGCATAGCGCCATTGCTATTATCTGATTCGAATTTAACTAACAGTAGCAGTCAGAACACTACTATCATTGGTGCTACTGGTGAAGATACCGAGGAATTGGAGAGCGAAGAAAATCTAGTGTCGCTGGATATTCCGGCCGGAACAAGATTGGAACTACCTATTTGGTTGGCGTTAGCTCTTGGAAGTGGGCGTCGCCAGGTCCTCAATGTGGAGCTTCCTTTCATTTATCGAGTAAGGTCTCTTTTGCGGTAGTTCTCTAATGAATTTCAGGACGCATTTGGGGAAGTGTTTGATGCAGACCCAAGCGTTGTGGATCTACGACGAAAAGCTCCTTTGTTTTATTTACTTTGGTTCAGTCTTTTGAATTTGGGACCATCCAAGGTTGGACAAGCGGCGGCTACAGTGGCTCGGGTGTTTCAAGTAAGTTGCTTCTCTTCACACCTTTACTGGTCAGCAACGATCACGATCCTCCATGATGCCAGTTTTCGCAATTATTAACATTGCGCTGTTGTGCAATGGTTTCGCTTACTGTCTTTCGATTAGCCATTTGGTTGACTTAGATAACGTGGGACTTGAGGGGTTTGTGGTGGTGGCGCTGTTGTTTAGTCACTGTCATCGGCTTGCTTTGGACCTTACGATCCGACGTTCGAGCCCCACCACCGCCACCCAGCTTTGGTGGTAGGCAGATTCGCTGTCGTCCGGTTCAGTACTACGCCTGACTTAGCGAGGCCTTATGTGGTTCGCCGCTCCAAGTCCCGGGGCTTAGGTTGCTAGTTACCATCACTGAACACTAGGTCCTCGTGAACATAAGAGTTACCCCATCTGCTTTTCATCACACTAAAGTGTAATAAAAAAGTGGGCTGCACTATCGGAATGGAGATGCCCGCAGCAAGTAAACTAGTCCTTCCAGCCGTTATGGAACTCCCAAGGTAGATAAATCTTTCAATCACTTCCAAGGAGCCGTTACTTAACAAAATCACAGAAAAAGGTTACTGCTTATCCTGCGACAGAACCTTGCACTTTGAGGGTGCAAAGCACATATCATACCGAGCAACATCAGTCGCCGAGCGGTTCTGCATGTTTCGAATAGCCAGTGCGTTGTCACCGGGTAAGGGAATATCATCAGCCTGCCCTCAGTCTACGACTCTTTCTTCAGGATGAAGCTGAAAGCCAGAGTTCTTTACGCTGAGTTACACTTTTGGCAGGATGCCATTTACGACGTAGTTGTTGAGAAACAGATAGCTAGAGTGACCCTGTCGTATCCCACTGGTGACAGGAAACGACAGTGAACTTTCACCATAGGCCTCAACTGTCGAAAAGTATCAACTCTATCTGACCTTCCATTATGCTGCACTGTCACTGTCGTCATGTCACTTATGTTGGTTTCAAATGTGTCTTTCCATGCACGCCTTCAACAATCATGTTTGAATAAAGAAAGTACGGACTGATCGTTTCAATTTATCGATTCCCATTTCTCCTAATTTCGAACGAGGTGATTCACCGTTTATATTTTCTTTGCCAGAAGTGCGTCACTAGGATGACCTAAATAAGTTAATATTAATTAGCGCGGTTTGGATCACAGCTGCTAAAAGTTTCTATCAGTTGTTCCAACAGACAAAGCCTGCTCATTCGAATAAGATTGGTAAATCAGTTCTGCCTCAAATTGACCCGTCGACTATTCATTGTGAACACTGTTTACATGCGCATACTCCGCACCACTGTCCTACGATTCATCTTCCCGTATGACCCGTGCGTTGTTGATTTCATCCTTCTGTTGATCCAGGCCTATAACTGTTCTACATGCCATTTGCACCTGCGCGTGCACCATTAACACGCTTGCTCCACTCCGCTTTCCTCTATATTGTTCTCGTGTGTCTAATCCATCCGTTCAGATAATTGACTGACCTTGACACCTGTCTGCGCACACCGCATTCCTTTTGTTTTCCCCAATGTCACTTTCCATCGTTGACTCTCACAGATGAGTCTATTTCTGTTTGCTTTATTCGTTCCGTTGTCACTGCACGGCACACATTCGTGCTCGCAGTCTCTACTTTTTGAACTACTTGCTTTAAAAATCCCGGTGTTTTTTAGACCGGATAGTGCCACAATTTGAGTTTTGCGTATTTTTCACCAATGTAATCCTCATTTCAGTACCGTTTTGTAGAAGAAACCCATTTGTTGGAAGACGCCGTCTTCTGGGTTTGGTACGCATCATTCTACGTGGATCGTTGTTGCCTGCGAAGTAAGCAGAGACAATGTAACTTACAGTTCATCTCCGTGTAAGCCCTCTGGGCCAAAAATGCGTAAACTTCGATGTTCGGCTATCCTCAATTCCAAAAATATGTAGCCGACACCCATTCACTATCGATTTCTGGGGTGAAAGGGTCAACAGATTTAGTTAAATGAATCCTTTAATTATTTGTCATTCGGAAGTTGACGCATGATATTAAACTCTCTGAGATATGTGTAATTTATGAAAGTTCTCCCTGAAAAGTTATCATCTCAAAAAACACTGAAGGCGCCATTAAACATTTTATTCCGGTACATTTATCAATTGTAATCAATTCAACTTGTCCTCCATACGACTATGGAATTCTTGTAATCAATCCTAGATGCTAGGTACCTATGTGTAATCTATGTTTAGCACAAGGTTGGTTTTGATTCCACAAGTCAACGTTCAGATTTTATCTAGACTTGAACTATTCTTTAATCCTCCAGACGTCCTTTATTGTTCTCCTAATATCTTCCAACCCCTGATAAATAGACGCGCTTGAAATCTGTAATGGATGCGGCACTGAATGCTACTCGGCACGATGCTCTTTCCTCTACTTCGCGGTAAGTGATTACTAGCTAGTTTTCCATCTGGTTTCCCTATTCCCAGGTTACCACAACACTCAATTCAGATACCGATATAATTTTGGGTTGAACCCAGTCTTAGTCCCGAATGCATGCGAATTCTATTGAAACGGTTTCACTGAAATCGGCCAAAACTGTCATCTGTGTTATTGTGCGGTTAGGGTTATCGTTATTTTGCGATCCTAACTACCTGTATATTTCCCTGTGAAACCAGTTTCGGCAAAATACTTGAACTTTAAAGCCGTTGTAGACGTACCATTCCTATGAAAAGATCTATCAGTTTCCTCACAATAGCGAAATTTCGTACTGAGCAGTGTGTCCCAACCCCGTAGTTTGTTGTCATTGATCGACGGTAGCGTGAATTCGCTCCATATAGCCATTGACCTGGCACTTTCTCGCGGCGGTTTCGGTTTCAGTTTTTTTATGGAGGTGCACGCACACCGTTTGCTTGCAAACAAACAATGGTATTATCGGAAGCTTTGAGGCAATACTATCCAAGCTTATTCTTCTGTTATCACACACACACACACACACACACAGGGTGTGGGTGTATAGGGTTGCGACTGATCACCCTGCCCTTGTACCTCGCGAAATGCTCCCGTACGACCAAGCGTCTCCAATAGCTTCTGATAAGGAGGCCCCACTCACTGCCTTCTAGTGGTGGAGTTGTTTTCCCACCGGGGTGAAAGGACGATGAGCCGACATCTGGGGCTATAACTGAGCTGGTGGACCACTGGTAGTTTACCTAGGGGAGTTGACCAAAAACTCTGATTCCAAACCAACTATGAGGTGGCGTACGA